AGATATTTTCTTGTTTTTTTTTTTTTTTTTTTTTTTTTTTTTTAAATTACGATTTCCCGGGTTTCAGGTCCGGACCTGAAAACCCCGGGTTTGGACCGGGTCCGGACCGGGACCGGGAACCTGGATTTTTAAGAACCGGGACCGGACCTGAATCAACAGGTCCGGGTCAGGTCCGGTCCGGTTCAGGTCGGTTCAGGTCCGGTTTCAGGTCCGGGCCAATTTTTGTACACCCCTATTCACAACATTCAAAGAGGAAGGAAATTCACAAGTCAATTCACGATACGTAGGATAATGCATGTCAACAAATTTTTTAATTCCTATATCGTTCATGAATCTCCTAACATAATCAAACAGGCCTAAAGACTCAAGAGTAGGGCTCTATAACCACCGAGAAGGGATTACCTCACGGTCATAGAGCTTTTCGAGCCGCTCTCGGTGTGTTGGGGTTGCGATTCGGATGAGAATAGTGGAGTTCAAAAGCCAGTTATCAAAAATTCCTAATATGGGAATCCTAGAGGTTTTGCTAACAATGAGAAACATAGTGTTGACTCCATATCCTTTTTGCAAGCTCAATTAACCTTTATTTGTCAAAAATTAGATAATCTTAGAACTGCAAATATAGTTAATGTTTCTGTTATTAATAATAATTCTAATGATGCTTTCTGTGAAAATCACATATTTAGCTTAAAACAAACTGACAATGGCATAACACTAACGCTAGCACCCAAATCACACAATGCATTATCAATCATCAGATTGCCAATATGACAAGGGATAGTGCTACCCTTGAGCCCTATAGGGCTATTAGCAACATTGTTTGGTTAAATAATCAAGATTAACATTTTTCATTAAAACAGTTCATCATCTTTAGGCATAAAGGGCCCATCATAGTGTGAGCTTGATATGTAGGTTTGGTTCGCTGCGATGGTAGGGCTCCCGGTTGAGTGGCTTGTAGAGTAAAGAGTACAGGAAATCTGCGCAATTTGATTATTTACAATTTTATTATGGGCTATGATCGAATCAATTTGAGCATCTCTACTAGCTAGCATCGCTCTAATTTCTGACAAAGCAGGGTCAGAAGATGAGGAGAGTTGTTGTGGTTGGGTTTTCTGCGAGAGTTGGGATGGTAATATTTCTGCTGTGGTTGTTGTGGTGCTTGTGATTGTTGTGGGGGTAGCGGGTTTTGAACATTGGTGCTCCGGTAAGAAAGATATGGATGGTTCCGGAGCCAGGATTGTAGGTATTGGTAGTATGGGTCATTCTCCCTATAGGCTTGAAAGACATTAACTTGCTCCACGTAACTCGTGCAATCTTGTTCTCAATGACCTACAATCCCACAATTTTCAAAAAAAGCATCATTAGATTTATTATTAATTGCAAAAACATTAGCTATATTTGTAGTGCTAAGATTATCTAATTTCTGACAAATAGAGGTTAATTGAGCTTGCAAAAAGGATACGGAGTCAACACTATGTTTTCCCTTGTTAGCAAAACCTCTAGGATTCCCATATTGGAAATTGTTGATAACAAGCTTTTGAACTCCGCTATTCTCATCTGGATCACAACCCCAACACAACGGGAACGGCTCGAAAAGCTCTATGAGCGTGAGGTGATCCCTTCTTGGTGGTTACACAACCCTACTCTTTAGTCTTTAGGCTTGTTTGATTATATTAGGAGACTCATGAAGGATATAGGAATGAAAAAATTTGTTGACATGCATTATCTTACGTATCGTGAATTGACTTGTGAATTTTTTTCCTCTTTGAATGTTGTAAATAGCAAAAATGGGCCAAATTTGCATTTTAGGTTGAACAATAGGAATATTAGTTCAACTTAAGTTGAATTTTGTAAATTGCTTGATTTGGAATCCGAACTCCCCCATCATTGGCATGAACACTGTAAAATGGAGGATATTTATTATGTTTTAGCCGGTTTATCCACCCTGAACTCTCAACATGCTAGTGCCCGACCTATTCATCACCTCGTTCCTAAAATTTTCCAAAGATTTTCGGGTGTTTGTTTTCTAGGTAGGAATGAGCCACACAATGTACAAACTAACGAGCTAGCTGTTATTGGACATTATGTGTTTGGTTATGGTAAATTGAACATGGGTAGGTACATCATCCACCATTTGAGTAGGCATGCCACAGCTAGTACCCCTATCCGCTTATGAGGCCTAATTACTAGGATAGCAGTTAAGAAGATCGGTTTTAGTGTGATTAGGCCCCACAATCTCACTACATGTGGGGGGGGGGATACCTACATGACCACTAGGCATCCAGTGGAATTAGGTTGGGTACGGATGGATGGCCAAACCCCCTATTGGTGTGTTAGGGTAGGAACGGAGCAACCATTGCCTATTTTTCCCCTCCCTAACCCCGAATTGACCGTCTTTCCCCTGGGAAGAGTTTTATACATATGCTGCTTTAGTTGCCCATGCTCAGGGGCGAGGCACCACCCGGTCGGGCGCGAGACTGGGCGAAGCTTGCTATTCTTCTTCTTCCGCCTCGCCCGGTCGGGCGCGCCTCATGGCGAGGGCGGCCTGATCGGGCGAGGCTCATGGGCATGGGATTGGACTTCGATTGGGCTCCAATTCTTCAGCCCAATCCGGATTTCTTCTTTGGGGCTTTAATACTTGTTGTCCAATGCCTCGGTACCTCATATGTTGAGCCCTTAAATGACTCTAACCGGCCTTGGGCTATAAAAAGTGGTCGTGCTCCTCCAATGTTCGTAGTTGCTTCATAAAATCCCGGGAAAATGCTCTAAATGTGCATTTCCCTACAAAACTCAACCAAAACTATGAAAACACTAGAAAACACCAATTAGTAATTAAAGTGGCTCTGAAGAGTTAAAAAAACACTACCAATTATGACCAAGGGAAGGGGGTAAAACACTATATAAAATAGACATATCACATAGAGCAGGAGGAAAAGACAGAAACCGCAGACACCACAAGGCAACACACACCCACTACCATGAGCAGCAACAACGACCTTCAATTGCTGACAGCAACTTTCTAAGGGACAAATTGTAGTAAAAGTAGCAATCAAGGCAATAGGCCATTGGGGGTAGTAATCAAGTAGTATAAATACAGGAGCCTAAGTTAGAGAGAGATTATCCAGATATTTTTATTGATTTTTCTTTTGAAGAGTGATGGCCTAAAGCCATTGTTTTGTACGCAAGCTTTGAGCTTTCTTAATCGAATCAACCGTCCGTCTAATTTTCTGTCATTACGTTGCTACTTATGGAAACAAATGCATTATTAGAGGTAGTAATGGAAATTTAATTGTCTACTGCCGAATGACTTTTTTCATTAAACATATTTATCATCAGGGGTGTTATGGGACTTCTTTAAAAAAATTACATACTTCTTCCGTTCCAAATTAGATGATACACTTTGACTTTGTACACTATTCACATAACTTACTTTGACTTTATTTTGTAATTTCATTTTGATAAAAAATGTAGTCATGTTGGGTCTTGTACTCTTGTTAGATTCATCTCAACATCTATTTTTTAAATATCAAATTTTTTAAGTTTTTGCTAATATGTAATCAAAGATATTTGCATTAGAAAGTATGCATTGGCAAATGTGCCTAAGTGTAATGTGTCATCTAATATGAAACAAAGTTATATAGATTACTAGTACTGCTAATAAGTACCTACTGGCTTCTACCAGACAGACCACTCAGGCTCTCATGGATGTCACATGTGGCTTTTGATTTTTTTTGAAGATGGCATATGTCAACGCCAATTCGTGTTTAAGGTTCCATAACCCTTGATGGTATTTGTAGTTGTGTATGCTTCTTTTTGTTGAGATCCTGCATCTTGTCTTGTATGATTCACATTATATAACTTATATTTGTGGTTGTGCATGCTTCTCTTTGTTGAGGTCTTCTATCTTGGGATTCTTGTCTAGTATGAGTCAAACAGGTATAACTTAAGGCCTCTGAGCAATCAATCCTGGTTTGGTGTTACTAAAGACTCCTATGGCCATTGAGTAACCCTGAAAAGAATGTCAGTTATATTGGTTGGCCTTTTCCCATTGAGAAGGTGGCAAGGCTTGGGGCATATTCCTGTTTGCATTGCATGTCATGTGATTTTAATTGCTAGTTTTTTGAAAAACTTTCATCCAGAAAGGTATCTGATTCGTCAGTCATGGCCTTTGCTGGGGTTTGGTTATGGAGACCTGTAATGCTGAAGCAATATAGTGACTGCAAGTTTTCCAGATAGTAGTCTTACAGTCATGAGTTATGAACTTTGGAAGAGTCTGTCAATACCTTTTGGTGTCCTGTATTTTTAATGATTAAGAAAGTGACAAACCCTGGGCCAAGCTCAATAGACTGGCAGCCAAAGCAGCTTCTTACGTTTTCTGCAATGCTTATCTTGGATATCACACTGTAAAAATTTTGGGAAAATATTTCAATTGACTTGGATTATTTAGTGGAAATGTCTTACAATATATACTAGCTTGTAAACTTGGAGATTGAGCAGACGACTAAATACTATTAGGAAACTTATATACTCTAGAATACAGTAAGTAAACACTATAAGGAAACAAATAACTAGTCGTTTCCTAAACCAATCAAACTACCAAAATCAGACACATAACATGTTTCCATCCATAAAGATTCTCCTTGCTTTTGGACTTGATCCTCGAGCCCTCTAGGGATGTCTTTATTTTGTGCTTATTTTTAGAGTAGTGAGTTAGTGACCGAAGGGAATTCTCATCTGGTTTTGACATGAAATTATTCATGTATCATGATGACTTCTGCATTTTTCTTGTATCACAAAGATCATAGAAGTTTAACTTTGTTGCACATCAATTTGTGATTGCAAGCTACATACAAATCTGACTTGTTTTGTATATTATGTTGCAAGCCTTTTGGTCATAAGCATTCTAGATTTTAAAATTCACATATTCTAGTTTTGAGCCCGTTGCTTTTTCTTTTCGTACCTAGGTTTTAGTTCCATAGTGTGATCTTTCTTGTACACCTCAGGGTGATGCTAATGGCCAGTATAAAGTCGGAACGCCCCAATCTTTAGGAGAAAACATGAAGAACAACTGCTTGTTTGTTGATGGGACAAAAGGTTAATGGGAAGGAACAAGCTCCTTATCCTAGACTTCTAGAGTCAGAGATATTGTATGTTGCGTCTCCTGTTGCAAAGTATGTTACCTTTGAGGCCAAGTATGGTACCCTGTTGCATCTCTTGTTGTGAAGTACTTGGAGGTCTAGTGTGTTGCATCTGTTGATGCTTCATCAAAAAACTAAACACTAAAACCTTTGATGCAGGTTGTCATTTGATGATGTAAAGCTTATAGTGTCTGACTGAATGGATTACTAAGAGGACAAGTTTAAGCAGTATATTGGATTTTAGCATTATGGCGCTTACATACAGAGCTTGGAAGTTCCTCATACATTGTGCTCAATGGTCGCTCTGCTTCCCCTGACTATGTGCACTGAAATGTGCTGAGTACACGATCAAATGCTTATAACTACAGTTAAACATAACATTATGTGGATGCATTACAGCCATAAATAGCATACTGCATGTTTGCAGTTAAGTACCAAAATCATCCCTGTAAAGCCCTGTATTTTGTAAATTGGTCTAACTGCTCTAACATATGGCACTGCTTGAGTTAGGATTAGAGTGTTATCGACCCAGATAAATTGGGGGGGTACTTTGACAGTAATTGTAGGCTTTGTAGCACTGTATCTTTTGCCCTCGTTACAATAGATGCTTTTTGAATAAATTCTGCTCAGTAGATTCACTGATATATCTTCATTGTTATACTTTGAAGGGTTTGTTTAATGTTGGATCTTGAAAGGTTGCGGTTAAAAGTTGGAAAAATGACATCAATGTGAATAACGGTGGAAGATATTGAGCTTAGAATGAAGCAAACAATTAATACAAAGTGATACTAGGCTACTTGTCCGAGATTTTGAAAGTCTGTAAGCCTGATAACCTAGTCTAAAACGATAAATGCTTTGTATGTTGCTTGGTGATTAAGTTGGATAAAAACAAGATTAGTGTTAGGTTGGTGATGAAAAATCAAAGCATGAGTAGGAAATCAAAGGCAAGCAATTGAAGCAACCCACTACTCGTTATTGAACATTAGTAAACGCAACTATGATTAAATCATGGAGCTAAGACTCATGTAGTAGGTCCCATTGGGCTTAAATTGGGATACATTATACCCACGAAGAATATGTATAAACAGTTTGGTAAAGTGGGCTGGGGTTGTCAAATTTCGACGTCCCAAACCCATGTGATGATGTGAGCTTGTGTATTGCTTTTAATTGAAGCATGTAGACTAGCACTTATTGAGTTATTGTGGTGTTACAAAATACAAAATATGTCCTTCGTTCCTCTATTGTTGCACAATGTATACACAATGAATACTTTAGCATTATTCATACACTTTTCTGTAAACATATACTGTGATTTACGATGCCCCCCTATCATCACTTGAGTTTTCGATACCAAGTCTCAATATCTTGAAAATATCCGATTTCTTGTATTATTGCTTTTACATTTGACAGATGGAAACAGTTTTAGACTTGGCAAGGATATGCATCAGGGGCTTTCCAGGGTTCCAAAAGGACACTAGGAAGCCTTCTTGGTGCCCGGAACCATCTCATCCATGTCTTGACCCACCCATTTTTAGCATGTGTTAAGATGCCTTGCCTTGCCTGCCTTATTGCCTTGAGTTGGTCTTGCCTTGGCTTGGCTAAGACGGCAAGACACCACCCTCGATTGTCAAAAATAGGTGTACTGGGGATGAGATATTTTTATGCCTTGTGTTGTGCACATGCCTCACTCCTTACCTAGGTCATAGCGTGCCTTGACTTGGGCAGCAACGCCATTCCCATGCCTTGGACGGACTTGGCTTAGGCATCAGCATCAGCTTCCCAAGGGCATAGTATCTCTTCCAAGCCAACTAGGGTTACATACAGCAATCGTAAGTACATACAATGTCAATTCATCCCCTCCTAATAAATGGAAGGTGTATTATGTTAAACATTAAGCCCTATCATTTATTCCTTGCCAGGAAGTATATATTACATGTATGTGCTTATCCAGATGTTAGCTACTTCACTTTCTTAATATTTGATCTGAAAGATGAATTCCCAACTTGATGGAATAGAATCTCGTTTATATCAATATCTTTCTCTTCTGTACACAATAGAGAGGCCATAACATCAAATTTAACAAAATTACCCCTAAAATAACACGTAAGGTGATTTAGAGGTGACTCGACATGATTTTTTGTATCTGTGGAAGAAAACAAAATTACAAAAATATTATTAACGCATATTTAAGCAACAACTGAATTGGACTGATTTATCGAAATGAGCGTGATAATTGAAGTCCATCCCCCAACAGATTTTCCATATATACTATCCTTGGAAAATATAAAGGGTGATAGATGCTGCCTTTTGAAGCAAACAGTCTTTTCCCTTTTGAATTGAAATTTCTTTTTTCTTTTGCTATTTGAAATCATTTCCATAAATCGTTAAATTATCTATGCATGTAAAAGTCTATTAGTGATTTAATAACTTCTCTAACAGTAAAAATGAGGTGATTAGCTGCTTTAGTAATCAAAATCAAGACCTACTTCACCATGTAATTACTTTGTCGATCTTAATTAATTAGTATCTATAGCTATATCAACTATCAAGTCATATCTTCACCAAACTTTCTATTTCCTTATCATGGCCTGACAATTCAACAATAATATTCTTCGATTGATATTCACTTCGATCCAAAAATATAAAATTCAAACATCTCAATTTGGATCAAACGATTTCACACTAACGTAATATATTTCGTAGTTTCGTAGAAAGTCACACTCATAACGAATTATTGTAAGGGCTGTCTTTTATCAAAATTTTGCATGACGAACAAAACAAAATTATAAGTTGGATTTACTTAATAATTCAGGCCATGTTCACATTTACAGAGCTGAGCTGAACTGAACTGATTGGAACTGAATTGAACTGAAGTGAAATGAATATTTTATGAGAGAAGGAAATTAGAAATTGAACTGAACTGATTGGAGCTTGACTGAATTGAATTCAATTGAAATTAAGATGAAGTGAACATGCCCTTAATATCCTTTGGTTCAGAAAAGTAGGCCATTATATATGCAAAATTTGCCCCCTTGGTCCCTTAACTATTTATTTTTCTATTAACTGTTTGTAACAAATGTCTAGCAAATCATACAATATGATTAGTAGCACTATTAATAAGTATGTGATTCTAAACGTAACCTAAGAGTACAACTTTCTTGATCCTAGTATTTTTTTGGTATTATTGGTCTTAATTGATAGATACAAGTAGAATGTAATTTACTTTTATGGTAATGATTGAGTACCTTTAAGTGTATAAAGAGAGGAGTACATCTTAAGTAAACCAAAACACTTACCTAATAATCATATTAATAGTTTTCCACTACTATATAAACCACCATAAACCATATTTCCATTGTACAAAAAATGTTTTAGCTTGTCTACCATAATCTCTATAATCTTTCACTCTATATTAATTCTATGAACACCATAATGATGGGCAGAAATTTGGCTTGGATTGTGTTAGTGGTGCTATGCTTGGCAGTGCGAAGCTTAGCAACCGTGTACACAGTGGGTGACTCGAGTGGATGGACAATTGGGGTTGATTATGGCACTTGGGCTGCTTCTAAGACATTCGTCGTTGGTGATAGCCTAGGTGAGTTTCTCTTCATTCTCTCCTTACATTAGCTCTAAATCAAACGTTTTTAGTTAGCATGATCAAAATTATAAACTCGTATGTATATCATCTTAAATCACATAAGAGGTGCCAAATTATAAAGTTTATTTTTACAAATTATACAACGATTGTACGTAGTGACTAGTTTGTTAACATGGAATGTATGTGTTGAACTAAAATACTGTCTAACTATTACTATTATCAAGAGTTATTCTGTAAAATTGTCCCATACTCATGATTCCTATATATATTTTTAAACAAAATGACTACATTATATAATTATCAATTTCCAAGAATCTCCAAAATGATGGAGCTATAAATTAAATAGATATATGATTAATTTTTACAACTATTGTCAGGAATTTTTTTATTTGTCACATAGGAATCTATTTGTTTATTATTTATTATAAATAAATTTGATGTATAAATAAAAGTTGGGGACAAATTGGATGCATGACAGTGTTCAATTATGGAAGTGGACACACAGTGGATGAAGTGAAGCAAAGTGACTACAAAACATGCACAATTGGGAATTCAATAAGCACTGACAACAAAGGCACTACTTCAATTCTACTCCAAACTCCTGGGACACATTTTTTTATTTGTGCTATTTTAGGTCATTGTGGTAGTGGTATGAAACTTTCTGTTAATGTTTTACCTTCTGCTGCTCCTTCTACTTCTCCTACTACTTCTACTACTGCTGCTCCTTCCACTACTACTACACCTACCACCACCAACGGTGTGTATCCCACCACCGCCTCCGGTACCACGCCGTATATGATCCCGGATTCGGCCTCGTCTTTGAGGAGTGTTACTAGCTCTATTCAAGGTGGACTTGTTTTGTTTGTGGTTGTTTTAGTTAATTTTGTTCTGTTTTTGTGATTTTGATGTGTATTTAATTTTTGTTGGTTCTTATAGCCAGGTTAGAGGCAGAGCTTTTCTATTATTAGTTAAGTAATTACTTTATTGTATGATATTTTTTTATGTGCGGATGTGCCTAAACAAATAAATATTTGTATACTTCTTTTAGATGGAATTATTTTAAAAATTTATTAAGAAATAGGTATGATTAGTTTGTTGGTCATTTGTTCACCATATATATGCACTAGCCTAGACCAATGACCATCTAAGATTAAATCATTATACCAAACAATAAGGCTGGTGAATAATATTTTCTTTTTATAATGTCACAAGTGGTTTAAACATATAAGAAATACACAATTTTTATTTCGATATACTACTGAATAATAAGTTCAATTGAGTTTAAATAACTTATTAACCTGTATTTGAATTTGATTATTTGTGTAATGTGAACTTATATTTTTAGAATTAATTGAAATGAAGGTAAATAAAAACAGATGCTAGCTAGCTAGTGAAGTAGTGAGGTACTTAATTTAGAAAGAAGGGAGTATTATTCTGGACACACTATACTGCGTATGATTTTGAACTCTAATTTAAAAGGAGAAACGCACAATTATTTTCCAAGAAAACATCAAGAGGTTTTCAGGTCTACTTCATTGTTGAAATCTCATTTTCAAATGTTTGGAAACATAAGCATCAGCAAAACTGATGCAAACTAAGCCTTCAATTTGCCTATGATTGACCCTGTCTTTCACATCAATAATATTTTGCAACCATATCATAGAAAATTCAGTATGATAACTATATGTTAACATGCAATTAACATATCGTATCACTTTTTATATAATTGTACATGTACTTGTCAACTCGTGGTAATGTGGAATTATCCGAGGCAATAAGTATAGTTCATCCATAAACAAGTGTTTATCTTTATAAGTTTAAGTACAATACCACTCAATACAGAGTGTTTGGGTCCAATTTAGTCAAAATTGGGCCTGAGCACTAAATGATCCAATTAAAAGCCCAAGGTCAAGGTTCAACTCTCCAATTGCTCAAAAGTCAAAAGTCAGCCCACAAAGTAAGCCAATTGGGCTAAAGCCCAACCTCTCCATGTATGATGAGGTATAAAAGCCATCATATTAACACATTCAAAAGGAGATTCACATTCCAATTCATATGCTCA